GCATCTGGTTCTCCGCGGGGATAATACTGGCTTTCCGTTGATGGCAACACCCTGCTGCGGGAAAGCTCTGGAAGAGAGTCATTCTGCAGTGTTCATTCATGGACATATTGTGATCATGACATTGGCATGGAGGCAAATGTGATACATTTCAGCATCAGTTTTGCTAACGTTGAAGTAACAAATGTCGTGATGGAGCCCTTAACACAATCACTGTATGTAGTAAGTGCAGGCTATGAAGGCAGACAGCCTGCCTGATATGTGGCTTATATTGATAGTGTAAATCAATGTAGGCTGTCTGGTGATGGCATAATGATAGGAGCGCCAATTTTTATGTATGATTAGGGGGATGTTGCCACTTGCAAGCCATGGGCCTCACAACCTCCCATCTCCTAAATGTGGTTGTCAACAGATTAAGCCTTTTTGGTTACAGGCAGTTTCTATTATGAAGATGTTTGTGTTATTGTATGATAAATCATTTGAGCAGTATAATGGTGGAAACCAATGTAGTTTGGTGGTGGCATGACAGTGGTGTCAATTTTTATGGATGATGTTGGGGGGGGGGGGGGGGAGGTAGCAACCGTGGGTCATGGCCTTTTCATTACTTGGTAATCTTCCAAATATAAGTATTGGGGGTTGGGGGGCAGCACTGAGTGGGCCCATCCCAACATGGAAGTTTGATAGGGTCACGGAAATTAATTTGAATTGACACTCCTACATTGTGCACGGGAAGTATCACAGGTTACCTTGGATTTGTATGCCATATAGCATGCAAATGGCAATTTCTGCTTGTTGATTGAATTTCTACCAATGTGTGGATGTTGATAACAAAGTGTGTAATTCTGCTGTACCAGCTGATTAGTTCGTGATCTGAAGTGCAGATTTCTACACCAGCATGTGTAAAATAAATGGAAAGGATGGTAGGCACCTTGATTCCCGTTTCATCATAATGCGAACTGACAGATGGGAGGGGACGAAGAACTCTTGCCATTCGCGAAGTGAGGAAGGTAGAGCCTTGCGCAAAAAAAAAACAACAGTGAATTGTCTTTAGCGATGGCTTGGGATCGGTAAAAAGTCTCATGCTCTTAATGGAATCCACTAGACCAGGTCCATGGTCAAATTTTCCTGAAAATCAACCTATTTTAGCTTTGCACGCTCAATTGTACGAAACCATACCGCGCAGAAACGCGTTTTTGGTATCAACACACGCGTAATGGATGCCCCAGAGGCCACAAAGGAGTTGAGCATGACTGTGCGATATGCCGGACAGACATCCTCAGAAGGCCTTAGGGGGGGGGGGGGGGGGCTCATCGCTCCCTCCTCGTTCTGTCAGGGCGAGTATGATGTTCAGGAAGAACTAGCAGCCTGATGTGAAGCCAATACAAATTTCAATGCGGTTTACTTGTTGGGGCACGGCGAAAGGCGCGCACCAGGGAACACAAGTCGCGCCAGACTTGAAGCATGACTAAGGTGGGGTGGCGAGTTTAACGACGGTGTATTGCCTAAATGAGCGTTTTGGTTGTGTGCATGATATTCCAAATTTCAGTGATTAAAGAGGCTTTCGGTGATAGGCCGATTCCTGATGACGCAACTGGACATGGACTGCATTACCATTTTATGTCATATGGTATCGCGTTAAGCAGCTGGCGGCAATATCGCCCGCAGAAATTCTGTCGGCGACAAAAAGTACACCCTTACCACCCCTGGGACGAATAATGGGTACAGACGCCCCCCTGTGACGTCAGGGGTGACGACAGACCCGGACATGGCCGGCACGGGTAAGCAGACCATCGCTGGTAGGTTGGCTGTCCCAGGGGAGGCCAAAGGGCTTTCAAGGTCTTTGAGTCTCTCGGGACGCGCCTTCGAATGTTTTGATTTATGTTCCTCAGCTCGATGTTGTTAGCGTGACCTTTGATACTCAAACCGCTGACTGAATCAAGGTCACCATCAGTCTACGGAGCATCGAGTGTCCTCCAGCAGAGTTCTATGAGTCTGGACTGTCTTCTGTGTTAGAATGTGTTTGTGGGTACGTGCAATTCCCCCTGAGTTATGAAAACGCGCATGCGCAGTCCACGAACGGCCGAAAATTATTGCCAACCAGGGTTCAAGCCGATGAATAGCAAAGAAACGAAGCACACGGGTTGCGAATGCAGGATGACCGCGATAAGTGTCAAGCCCGCTGATATAGGATCCTATTTAATAGAGTGCGTGTTTAATGGCTAACACCAAAAAATGGTCATTACCATCTTTTGTTGACGGGACATTGGAATGTTCCCAGTAGTTGGACATAAGTCTCCTCTGGCCTTTGGTCGGCTAATGCCCAATTCACCCAAAGCGCTCCCAGCCCTTCCCGTGTAGCCACCGTGAACATAGGTAACTGCTTTGAGCAAAAGATCGCTGGTGCTCATTTCAGACCAGTGACCTCGTGTGACCTTTCAAGGGTTATGATGGCCAAAATCGCACAAAAGTGCTTTGATTTTTGCATTTCAATAGGTGCTAAGGATTTCGATAGGCTAAAGTAAAATGTAAAAGCAAAATGTTAGCCTGGATCCATTTTATGCCAGCTATCTATTCTGACCTTTAAGAAGGGCATGGAAGATGTGCGGTGTGGCTCCTATTATCAGTGAATTCCAAATGAGCACCAGAAATTACCCCAAACGATCAGTTTTAGGGAAAATACAAACAGGGTAGTTTTTACATTAGACATTCATACCTGACCTCAGGTCAATTAATTTTGTTAATTCAATTGTTGTGGTTCCTGGGAACTATAACAGAGATCTACAGTTTCGTCTAACATGCCGTTATCGCATCATGTTGAACGATTCCCTAGAAATCGTCATCACCGAATCTATGGCCCGCCTTTGGCCTGCCGTAGGCTGGTGACAAGGTACATCTAAATTTTATGCGAAACTATTTTCTATTCGATTGTCTACAGCTACAAAAAATTGGCGCAACTTCGTCGCGCCGTTCGTAAATCATTTTGGAAAGACTTCGGGGGCCAAATTAACCCCCTACGAGCGCGTGTTAAAACACATAAAGCTCCCCCAAAAACTGTAGCCTAAGACCTTCTTATCTACATGAAGGTGATTGGATTAGGTATAGTCGTTTGACTTTTACACATCCTACATGATCAACCCACCGTGCATTGCAATGCACTTCACTGCTCTCGTAACATGCTTATAACATTAGGTATAGTTGTTTGACTTTTACACATCCTACATGATCAAACCACCGTGCATTGCAATACGCTTCACTGCTCTCGTAACATTTGTTCATCTCCTCTCTTTACAATAGTGATCTGAGATCATATGGCAGCATGCATTACAGCCAGGGCATGCATTATATTCACATGATTTGCTTCACCGCGTCATCGTGAAGTATGTTTGGAAAACTTCATGTCACAAATGGACCGTATGATATTTTTGTTTCACGCTCGTTTTGCTAACCGACAAGGTTCCGTGACTTTAGAAATCTGAAAATACCATTAACTAGGGTATTTCTTTTCATGATAGCAACGTCATCACTTGCCGAACAAAGGCAAGCTGGCGCGTGCAGCAAAACCTACTTTTCACCAGCACTCTGATGCTTAACTTTGCGTGGAAGCCATTCAGAATAGATCCCACGAAAAGAGCCATAGCCTAGCCTATCTCCGTGAACTGATTTCACTCAACGGCTCCCACATACGGACAATCAAATTCCTTCAAAGTCTGTCACACAGCTAAGATATGCTAGCAGGTGCGCACTCTGATACCTGAAGTTCTTTGCTTCACTTCACGGACAAAGGTCATGAACCTATAACAAAAGCACCGAACAGGATAGGCGCATTAACCCTCGCCCTGATTGGGCTCATTAACCCTCGCCCTGATGGGCACTGGATCGATCTCCCCCCCCCCCCCCCCCGCTACGGTTCTTCTGCGAGGATATCTCTCCGGCATGTTGCGCAATTACGTTCAATCTTTCACTGGCCTCTGAAGCATTTCTTGCGTATTTGACAGGAAAAACTTGTCTCTCGTATGAATGGTTGTAAAGTGGTGACTGTTTGAGGAACACTGCGCGGCAATCTGGGGTCAGTGCGGGGGCTGGCGGCAACCAACGATCTCACTGAGCGCGCGCGGCTGACCTACACTGTTACATAAGCCAAGTCCTGCATCATAAGTATATGGTCAGACATGGAAAAAATACATATATTTGTCCTTCATTAAATAAAAACCACGTTTCTTTGAGTTTAATGTTGCTAAGCGGGATCATGGTCACGAAACAATGAGCAGTAACTGGCCTATTTGTCTCGCTAATTGACCTAACAACAGAAAATTGTTACAAGCCGCAAGATCTCGTTGCGACTAATCCGCTAAGTTTTCCGCGGGGCTCTATCTCTTTTAGCCCGGAAGCAGCAGGCGACGCACCGACCCTGTCCGCTATCAATCCGCTCCATGAAAAACGTCGAATCAGGGCAGGGTTAATCATATCCGCGACTTAGTTACGTGAGACATGATAGATTGAACTACTGATGGACAATACGATGAATCAAGGAAATAGCAAACTTTCCGTCAAAAACACGCCGATGACACGCTTCCAGATCAGATTGAGCTATTCCAAATTGGTGCACTGTGAGATAAGACTTCTACGCCACGCGGTTTTCTTACGGCAAAGCATAAGATTATAGTCGCAATGCTACCACGTAGCCAAAGAAGCTAACGCCAATCTTAACGCGATGCGCTGTACTGGGCTCTATCAAACGAACAGACAAAGGGCATAAAATCATGACTCGAAGGAATAAAAAAACAGTCCTCTACACCCAACACACCAAAGATGGCAAACGGAAAGCCCAACAGGAAAGCAAGCAAAAGGGTTCCGGCTTGCAAGCCGTAAGAAACCGACCAAAGAAAAATGCTGTGGCCTTTCGCCACGCCCCATCTGTTGTCATCAAGTAGGAATCGTTGGGGTGCGACGGCGTATAAAGTCGCAAACCCAGCATGTCGTGGTCGCAGTGCAGCCAAGCGTGGCCAGCGCACGCCAGACAATGAAGGTAAGATAACGCGGGCTGAACCCGATAACATGAAGGTAAGATAACGCGAGCTGAACCCGGTAACGATGCACCACCGAGCACCTTTGGCGTTTTTTCACGAAAGGAAGCCGGGTGCATGTGTATTTTCCTATGACTGCCAGTGGAGATGTATGTGCATAGTCCTCACGCTTATTCATGATGCCAATAACAGGGAGACGTTAGAGTTCCAAGACGGCGTGTTGGTCTGCATCCAGTACGTAGGAAATAAATGGCATTACATTGACATGCCGTTCTTATCATGCTTAACATTATTTTGAATGCTCCGATGTCAAATGTTCATGTCACCATATGCATGTTAATGTGTGCACGGGATATATATATATATATATATATATATATATATATATATATATATATATATATATATATCGCACATATGTACGTATATATGCGTATATGCATATATATATATATATATATATATATATATATATATATATGCATAAACGTTTCAATCTACTTGAATATGCTCACTACATATTATTTCGCCCCCTCCCCCCCCACCCCACCCCAGTGTGACGTCTAAATATTAACAGATAAGATAATTACTGCCGTTAGCAATTAAGCCTGGCATTTGATCACCGTGTTCTATCAAGCCGTACCTTTGCAATGCATGCGTGCATGCACTTATGAAGCAGGAGTTTTCGGTTTGCAGTCAAGATTTGTGTGACATTTTTCATTTTGGTGTAAAGAATGGCTACCATTAACAACGCCAACACCAACACACCTCAATTATTTGCCTGCAAAGGTACGGCACAGTCGCATCCATACCCCTATGTCAAGCGGTGAAGCTTGGTCTGCTAGTGCACCTTGTTGGGGCTGCTTGGCAGTGGCAGCTTGTGAGCCGCCTCAACCTGACCCGTACCCGCAGTTTGTGAACCGCCTGACCGTGACCAGTACACGGGTCAGGCACGCCTGAGCCAGTTACGGCTGTGCCTGCAGTTTGTGAACCGCTTTACCGTGACCAGCGGACGGGTTTGGCACGCCTGACCCAGTCACGGCTGTGCCTGCAGTTTGTGAACCGCTTTACCGTGACCAGCGGACGGGTTGGGCACGCCTGACCTAGTCACGGCTGTGCCTGCAGTTTGTGAACCGCTTTACCGTGACCAGCGGACGGGTTGGACACGCCTGACCCGGTCACGGCCGTGCCTGCAGTTTGTGAACCGCCTGACCCTGACCTCCGCCGGCAGCTGTTGGTGGTTCTGTGCCTGGTGGCATGGGCCTCTGCCGATGACGACGCCGACCGCACCTACGTTGACAGCTACAGCGACCACGGGTCCTCCGATTATAGCGGCTCCTATGGCCGCGGATACAAGAAGAGCTACTACGGGCAGGGTTCATACAGCAACAACAACCATAACTACAGATACAACACATACTTCCCCGGGTATTACGACCACGGTAAGAGCTACGGCAACAGACATTACTACCGCAGAAGCTACGACGGCTACGATGAACACTACGATGACAGTGACCAAAGCTACGACAACGATGGGCAAGGCTATCTGAACTACGGCCGAGACTACGGTAAATCCGGCAGCTATGACGGAAACTATGGCAACCACGGTCGTTACTACGGCGGGTATGGTCAGAACTACGGCGGCTATGGTCGGGACGACGACGGCTACGACCGTGACTACGACGACTATGGCCACAACTACGGAAAATACGGCCAAAGCTACATCCAGGGCCACAATTACAGAAGAAACTACCGGACCTACACCCCCACGTATTGGTACCGCAACAGCTATGATGACGACGACTACTACGGCACCAGCTACGGCGGAGACCATGGTTACGGGGGCCACTACGACAGCAGCTATAGTTATCACCCGCAGTACAGCTACTACGGAGATGATGACTACAATGGCTACGATGACGACAGTAGTTACTGGGATTGATCGTTGTGAACAGGTGGCTTCCGCACCTGCCGTCGTTGAACAGATCGCGCCGGTCCGAACCGAGCGTGTTCTCGTGTCTGCGATCGCGCACCCCGACAGGGCATCAGCAAACGCGTCTGCCCCCTTCCCCATGTGTGATGGTGTAGGCAACTAAATGAATGTTTCATAATGAGCAAACTTCTTGACAGCAACGACGCGTAGTACATAATATGACTATGGAGCCCCACAAATGTCTGTCAGTAATCCAATACAAGTGGTCCTGTCGATTCGTTTTATGACGCAGTCTTATGCTGGAGAGTTAGATATAGCTTGACATCACGTACATCCATAGAGTCTAGGAATGGCATTCCGCCATAAGAGTAGCTTGCGGAGGTGAAAAAAGCATTCAGTGAACGACGAAGCAATAATGGTGAGGAGATGGCAAGTCAAGTGCACGCACGGCACTTGTGTGGCCTCAAAAGGATTAAGCATACCAGAACAACCTTTTTTATTTCTTGGTTTCATAAGAACTAGCCAACGTGACCTGAAAAATGTGTTCATAAGCCCAACAAACACAGACCATTTGAAATATTATCACCAACGACTTGGTACGTCGGCTAACGGCAGCGGAGCAATGTAGCCTGTGTCCCTATCCACCGCCGCCAAACGGTCAGAGCCATGGCATATCCTGCCGGGGTAGCGGTGAAGAAAATTCCTGCAGAACGTCGTGCTGCGGTTGGTAGAAAACATCATGGTCTTCCCCAGATCCCAGAGGTCTTTGAACTGCAATCGACTCCACATTAGCATTTTGCACTTGACAACTTATTACGGTGTCACCCTCCTTTTTATCGAAAACCTGCGTACCCTGCTCATGAAGGCCGCATACACACACACACACACACACACACCACACACACACACACACACACACACACACACACACACCACGGAGATAGAGAGAGAAAGATATATGTATATATATATATATATATATATATATATATATATATATATATATAATGACTTGTACATATACAGAGAAAGAGAGAGAGAGAGAGAGAGAGAGAGAGAGAGAGAGAGAGAGGAGGAGAGCGAGAGAGAGAGAGAGAGAGAGAGAGAGAGAGGAGAGAGAGAGAGAGGAGAGAGAGGAGAGAGAGAGAGAGAGAGAGAGAGAGGAGAGAGATATACGAATCTATGGTAGTGGCAACTACCACATATATATTTACCATATTATATATATATATATATATATATATATATATATATATATATATGACGTTCACAAGAATAAGCCTAGACCTAGCCTGATATGAGTGGTGTGAAGGGCTTCAAACCGTTTACTAAAGATTGCTTAGACGAAAAAATATCCATAGTATTTGTTCAGTGGCTTCAGCTTGACTTGTGAGAAGATTGTGTCCAGCCCTCATCTGGCACGCGGGTAAGGGTAGCTGCCGGCGGCAAGGGATAGGAGCGGACGCAATCCTGCACTTAGCGGCTACGGTCACCCCATGATCAAGTATGAAGTAATAAACTGACTTATAGCTATTGGTGTACTTTTAACGGGAAAAGGCAGCTCTAGATAACACAGGGTTTCTGTTTAGTACATATGTTTTTTTCAATACGGAATTGATTGTGTCAAGTAGCGTGTGTATGACGTAGAGGTGCGGCCACACTAGCCGTGCGAAATTACCACCATAGCACTAACTTGTGGCATTTCAATCTCCCCAGAGGCGACCGTGAGTGCTGGAAGTGTTTGCGGTGCCAAATCCCGTCACGTGCTCGTGTTTAGCCATTTCTCGTGGTGTTCTCACTAATATATCCATGAGTTTAAGGTGTTTACGTATATTCACAAGCTCTGATATGGCACTATTTCTAAGTTATTCCATTACATGGCTCAATTCCGTGATAACTATGTCCAGTTTCTTATACTACGTAAAAAAACGCGACTCGTGATGAAAACTTGCACATCGTGCTGAACATGCATTGGGAGTCAATTACCGTCCACTATAACTGGAAAGCTTGCCCACGAATTGCCAGATGTGAACGGCTAGACGATAATATTTGCATTGCCCTTGAACGCAGAATGTTAATGGGTGGCATATCTGAATGACGTTTCTATAGCGTAAGGCATACATGAGTGATCTTGAAACAGGGTGCACATTTCAGGGGGCATGTTGCTCAGAACTAGAGGGGTTTAGGTCTTAAGAAGGCCAGGGCTGTGATCTGCACCGGAGGATCTTTAAAATAGCTAGTTCAGTTCAAAACCCCATACAACTGAGGAGCCCTCTCTTTAAAAGAAATGTTTCCACTTTTGAAGATAATTAAGCAGGCATCAGATATGATGAAATAAGCTTACGTATGACTTTTGTATACTTTTTATGAAAAGGCTACCTAAGACAACAACATTTCTCCATTTAGTCAATACACTCCTCAAACTGTCACTGTTTGATTGCATTATGAAGCGTTTGTATGACGGCACTCACTTTTACTTTAATCCCCCGAGAGGTGGTCGCGTCGGTGCTGGATGTGTGCTGAACGAAATGTCGTTAGTCGCTCGTGTTTCGGTCCTTTCTCGTAGTGTTCGTGCATACTTATCCCTGAGTTTAATGTATTAACCTATATTCACGTACTCGGGTTATAGCGCCACCCTTGAATTAATTGATCATAAGTCTTATTTGCGCAGTAACTAGGAAGAATGTTTAGCTTATTGTATCATGTAGCACACAGTATAATTCTTATTGGAAGCTTACACAGCTTGCGCAGCATTGATTGAGAGTCAGATGACACCAACATACCTGGAAATTCTATAACGAACGACAGATATGAACGATATGACCGCTATATGTGTTGTCTTTAGACACTGCATAACCAATGGAATGGTGGGATTTAAATGACATTATTACGATGTCGTGGACATCTGGGTGATTTCGAAATAGTCTGCACATCTTCGCAGGCGTATAGCTCGGAAACTAGACGGATTTAGGTAAAAAATGGGCAGGAACTGTAAACTGTATTAAATGATCTTCAAGATACCTGTTTCAATTCAAAACACCATAAAAATGTACAATACGCGCTTTGAACTGAATCTGTGGCCAGCCGCTGATTGGTCTGGAAATCGTCCAAATTGTGGCATCAGTCACGATTGGCTGAACGTTTTTCATGTGGAGGGAGGTCTGGAATAAAGGCGAGGGAAACTTGCATGAAGGTAAGACGTGTCTTAGTTTCGAAACGCTAGCTGGAACAAAAAGCTGCCAAGCCGATAAATGACACGTAAACTATGCTATGCCTTGCTATGCATTTACACACTACGCACGACGTCTCTCAGCTTAAAGCCGTCAGCATGCACTGCAGTAGACAGTGTAAGCACCACTATGCGACGGACATTTTTCATGGATTTGGCCACGCCCTCCGCAATATTGTGGACACGAGTGTACCTTCGGACACGTCCCAGGAGAGCGGAACCACGCCATAGTCACACAGACACACGAGGGGAAAAAACCAACGATCAAACCAATGCGCGTCCCATTCCGCCGATCATAAATAAAATGGCGGAGAATGTCGCATAAAAACAGTTGACTGACTATCTGAAAACGCATTGCTTGCTGACTGCAGCGTAACGTGGACTCCTATTGAAAACGACGCTCGACCGAAACAGCTCTCAGCGTCATCGCGATCGCGTTTTTCATGCCATGGACAACGGCGAAATTTTAATTTTGGCCCCTCTATTCTTTCCGAAGACGCCGCCGTTGTCCCTCACCAGAAACCTCGCGAAAAGCCGAGTCTATACGGTGTCGACCTCGACCGGTGCACGGAATATTTGGCGGAGCACGTGCAGCAGGTGCGCGTGCCCAGTCCTGGTGACTCTAACATAACGTCTCTGCCGAGGGAAAACGATGTTGGGATGTTCCTAGCGGGAGGCTCAGGCATGTCTTAGAAATGCTGTCCGCGAACGAGCTGAATCTGCAAGTGTGCGACAGTGTCACAGCCGTTAAGTTTGCAAAGGATGCACAAATTTTGGGCACGAACGAAACACAGGATTTGGCAAATATGATTTCTCTCATAAGGATTGCCCTCGTTTCCCTCTGTCCACGGATTTGTCAAAATGGTATGAAGGTCAACACCACCAAAATTACAATGCTGGCATTGGGCACACAAGCAACATTGAGCCTCTTTCCCGTCATGGCCTCCTTGTGTGGGTCCGCAGCAAGTGGTGCATGGGCGTTGAAAAAACTGGGAGTCCCTCTAAAAGTCCCTCTAACTAAGAACTACTAGGCACACAGTGACGCCACGACCTCCAAATGTCCAGGCATTCTGAGCCATGCCTCGGCCACGCCTATCGCGTGCTGTCTGCGAACACGCTGAAAATCATTTTGCAGGCTTGTATTCCCTCGGCCGTTTGTGGCAGCATGAGCGGGCACGGGTCGTGTGGCGTGACACAGATCGCTCGCGTGCGGGTCAACTTTTGTGCAGGGATGGTCAGTGGTCGCAGGCGCTGTGATCAGATCTCAGATGTTACCGAGCAGCTCGACTGGCCGCGAACTGTTGAATTAGTCGGGCATCACAATGTCTGCACAGACCAGCGTGGCATCAGAATTGTTACAGGACTGGTTTGATTTGCATCTGGGCAAAGCACATGGGTGAATCCAGTGGTCCAGTAGCCCATGAGCTACACGGCTTCAGCACCCGAAACGCAGACCGCGTAAGATAGGCTCGAGCCCGAACTGAAACAGGCAGGCGCCGCCTGTGCATCAAGGGGTCACCATCCTAAACCATACCAGTCAAGATACTCAGATCCTTATTTTAAACGTGTTTTAGTGACGCAACAGATGAAATGCTACTGTGCTTGTGGATGCTTCATGAAATATACATTTGAAACTGAATCTGAACTTGCCCAAGTGAACATCATTATCTTTCGACGACCGTCCACCAGCATATCATTGCTTTCCTTGTTCACAGTTCATGCTCACGCTCCGACCACGTCCACAAACGGCGCTCACATGATTAATGTTTGAATACTCAAAATTATCACTGTAATCACTAGGCGGTTAGGACTAAGTAAGCAGCATTAGTGCTCGAAACATAGAAATCTAGCCACTTGGAGACATGTCGATGCCCAAATAGAGCAAACAAAAGGCTCACGAAACACCTACAAGGACCGTGCACAGACTGCAAAAGACACGCATGCTTCTGACAGAGCATGCCCATCCACGGAACACAAAAACAGGAAATCGGCCGCGCGATAACAGCCCATTGTGCACCAAAAAAACACGCATGAGTCCAGACAAACTGCGGCCGGCAAGTCCACACGCGACATGGGCGTGGTTCGCACAAGGTGTGGAATGCCTCTTCGCGAGGAAAAAATGCTGGGGCAGGCCCAGGCGTTTGGTTGGCGAGGCGCGGATGTAGGGGGGTATAAAGGCACCGGGCGGCAGGGGCGAGACATTGCTGTCCCGGCGAACACGGAACGCGAAGACGACAGACATGAAGGTAAGCGAATGGACGGGCACAGATGCCATAAGGGCTTAGTAATACGATTGTGCGAGAACGTATAATGCTTTAAGGAGGCTATGATGATGCTGTCAGCGCCATCGGCATCCTGAAGTTACTTTGTCTTGACAAAAGTTGCTTCATAAAGGCGCGCTCGCTGCGACAAGCATTCGATACTTCCAAAAGGCGTGGAAAAATTATGATATTGTAGGGTTATGCAAACCTAAAACAATGTGTCTAGGCAAGCAAGCGCCTTCAACGCATCTGAGATGGTTGTCAGGAAACTATCACAGTCTGTGGTAGCTTTACCAATTATATTGCTTAAACTTGGACTTTGCATATCATTCACGCATGTCGTCACTTCCCTTGAAAACGTTCCAAAACATTTCAGGCATACTGTTCCCTTCACGAAAGGGCTCATGTTTCTCAAACTGAGCTCTTCCAACAGCTCGTGGTGCGTGAAGTAACAAGCCCTGAACTTTGCCTGACAAAAATTTCCTTCCACCAGTTTTTAGTGCTTCTCTGCTTGGTGGCGTGTGTCGCGGCGGACTCTGACGGCTATTATGACGACTATTACAAGTACCCGGGCAGATACGGCCCGTCACGGTACTATGGCAAGTATGAGGGAGGATATTATCCAGATGACTACAGGTACAAATCATACGGCAAGAATAACTATCGCTACGACTACCACATCTACTACCCCTGGGAAAGGGCTCATCAGGTGAGAATGGCAGCTTGACTGTCGCAACCTAAGTGGGGACGTACGTACGGGCCATTTCTTGATTTCCATGAGGCGAATGCTTTACATATATTACGTGAAGGAAACAATAGATAGTTCCCAAGTTCATTTATGCGTCACCTTTCATTGTGGCGTATTCATCGTAAGCCAGACAGTAAGAATCGCTCATGAAGTGATTATTCAATAACTTCCTGATGCCAGTGATACAGCATTTGGTACCAGGCCACCGGCAGCCCGCACTAAACCAGCACCAGCAGTACTGCAGCGGAGCAAGGGATCGCAATGCCAGACCTCGATCGATGCCGGGAAATGCTGACCTGTATTTAGTGTAATGAAGCGCAACACCAGTGTCAGTATCCGCCCAGCGTTCTGGGTTCCAAGTCGGACCCCTTGCATCTCGGCTAGTGTCAGTTAGGAAGCGGAACCATTATGATGATATTTTTCTATTCTTGGGTATTTTCTAGACCGCAGCGTAAACGTCAACCCTGACCGCTTCCTCAAAAGCTGACCTGCCTGCCCTTCAACAGGGCAAGTACGAGAGCAACTACGGCGGCCGCACCCGCGGCGGGTACCACGTGAAGCTGCCGTACAGCAAGGTCAACGTCGACTATGACATCAAACACGGCTATGGCAAGGTCCGTACTGGTAGGTAGCACCGCAAGTTCCATAAATCAGCAGCAATCGCTTTGGGAATCGAAGTGTCCCTAACTGATAAAATGATGGCGGCGGACAGACGCCAATAGTTACCGACCAGACTACCATAATCGTGAAAAGCCAGGTCCGTCTGCTGTGAATGAGCCGGCGCCCGTGTGCTGGTGGGCTGAGTGCGCATGCGCGGCCTACAGTTCGCACCACTAATATTGCGTCATGTACCACGGCTGTATCTGATAGCCAAGAATATGAATAAAAGACAAATCAAACCAAATGGACGGTACATATGTATATCATGAAAGCAACTCGAAGAACTAAACAGATGTAACTTAACCCAGACATTTGCCCTAACTCGACGCGCAACAATGCCCGACCGAACATAGCGTAACGTTATTTTTGCGGCGTGTAACGAGCAATGTGATGCCAGAGGTCAATGCTATCTCCATCCAGATGATTACCTTAACGTGAGTGAATAGAGGCTGGGGACTGGGGAGGTCCGTCAGCTTGGATTAACCAACTGCATTGCAATGCTCTATTGTTTGTAAATCTGGCACGAAAACTAAATACACTGCATAGATTTATTGGTCGAAGAACTGTATGAAATCCTTATTTACCAGAAAATTTTCACACTAGAAGTATGGGCACTAGATTGAACATCAAAATACAATGCATTAGACCAAGCACCATCAGAGGCAGAGGTAAACTTGCGACGAATAAGCTATGGGCTGCCTAAAGAATCAACTGTGACACCACAGAGCAGCGTCGCACAAAACGGAGATTGCACCCAATCCACATCGCAAGTACATGGAACGCATCACCGGTTGTGCACTGGGACAAAACAGAAATGCTGAACACAACCATCGTCACTTGTAGCGACCGTTGGACTTTTACGTGGGGCGGTTAAGCCTACTGGAAAATAGACCGCTCTTAACTAAAGTGGCGATCAGGACATGCTTGAAATAAGTTTAGAGAAAGCTCGTTGCAAAACTTGTTGAAAATGGTGAAATATGCCTTGTTAGTGGTCGTATCAAATCTCTTTTTTTAGAGATTTGATCCGAACCCTTTGAATGGATGGATTTCTGGGATCAGCGCTCACGCTAAGCAGTGCTTGTTGTGTGAGCCCTGACCTCTACCACCCGATCGCGCAATTCCAGGCAACGGTAGAATGTCGTGGCGAAAGCTTAACGTGCCGCAATGCTCGGCACGTTCCGTTCCGTCCCCTGACGTCAACTGGCCTTTAGCGCGACCGCTGCCACCGGCCGCAGGCCATACCTGTCAAGGGCAAATAGCGAGCGCCTAAAGCGACTCGAACCCACCCCGCCACGGGTGGGTGAATCGGGAGGCAGGCACTCTAACCAACTGAGCTACCGGGACGGACCGGGACGGAGAAAATGGTAAAAAATATTTTACAAGTGAGTCATGTTACTACTCAGCGGTGGATTTCGAAGTGATTTGAATAAAGGGCCTTATATAATTTTTTTATATAATACATATATATATATATATATATATATATATATATATATATATATATATATATATATATATACTCTCTCTCTCTCTCTCTCTCTCTCTCTCTCTCTCTCTCTCTCTCTCTCTCTCTCTCTCTCTCTCTCTCTCTCTCTTCTCTCTCTCTCTCTCTCTCTCTCTCTCTCTCTCTCTCTCTCCCTCTCTCTCTCTCTCTCTCTCTCTCTCTCTCTCTCTCTCTCTCTCTCTCTCTCTCTCTCTCTCTCTCTCTCTCTCTCTCTCTCTCTCTCTCTCTCTCTCTCTCTCTCTCTCTCTCTCTCTCTCTCTCTCTCTCTCTCTCTCTCTCTCTCTCTCTCTCTCTCTCTCTCTCTCTCTCTCTCTCTCTCTCTCTCTCTCTCTCTCTCTCTCTCTCTCTCTCTCTCTCTCTCTCTCTCTCTCTCTCTCTCTCTCTCTCTCTCTCTCTCTCTCTCTCTCTCTCTCTCTCTCTCTCTCTCTCTCTCTCTCTCTCTCTCTCTCTCTCTCTCTCTCTCTCTCTCTCTCTCTCTCTCTCTCTCTCTCTCTCTCTCTCTCTCTCTCTCTCTCTCTCTCTCTCTCTCTCTCTCTCTCTCTCTCTCTCTCTCTCTCTCTCCTCTCTCTCTCTCTCTCCTCTCTCTCTCTCTCTCTCTCTCTCTCTCTCTCTCTCTCTCTCTCTCTCTCTCTCTCTCTCTCTCTCTCTCTCTCTCTCTCTCTCTCTCTCTCTCTCTCTCTCTCTCTCTCTCTCTCTCTCTCTCTCTCTCTCTCTCTCTCTCTCTCTCTCCTCTCTCTCTCTCTCTTTCTCTCTCTCTCTCTCTCTATTACTTATAATATATAATATATTTTATATTATACATTTCATTTATATCTGTACTATTTATAACATAGTATTAAATAATTATCAAGGGGCCTTTGATTAAGGGCCTCGATCTTCCTTAGTATTCACAATTTATCAGCGCTGTTACCATTTTAGTGGTTTGTCTTCAGACGCACTCTATTTCATCTAAATCTCGAGCGAACTGGAGATTTTAAACTTGGGAACAGTACTTTACGTCATGTTTTACAAAAAAAAGGTGTTGAAGATTTTTCTCGTATCGTTCACAGTTCTATTTATCATGCGACATATCTTGAAGAGAGTGTTTCAACACCAGTTCATGCATCCAAAGTATGCTCTGGTTGAATCTCGTGACCAATTCCAATAATAACACTGGGTCAAGCCACCACCGCACGAACAAGATATGATGATCAGTTGTCGAATCCAGCTCACGCTAACAACGTTTCGCCAAAGCTTGTTTTGCCTTTGTATCCCAAATCTTAACGCTAGTCCGCGACAGCTGATGACGGCAGAATCTGCTGATGGTCGTCGTCAGCTATTACGGGCTAGGGGTACCACACTTTTCAGCCGCCTCACCAACGGCCATACTGTGCTCAAGATCAAGGATGCGAGCATAACGAGTGTGGGGTTTATCACGCGCGCGTAAATTAACAAGACACTTTTCAGCAAGCTGAAGTACTACCAGTGAGTCAGCCTGGCTGCCACACTGTCGACCCGTCTGACAGGGACTCTGATGCAATCAAAATGTTCCATGACGTAATGAAATGATGGCGTATTGAGCAGCATATTTGTCAAACGGGTAGCCTTTTGTATGTGGGGCAGCCTTTTGCTTTTAAAATTACACCTTACACCAATAATTACCACCTTTCACCAATAATAACCGAGGAGCTTTCCCCTCACATCTGATACTTGCCCAATATCTTCAAATGTGCAACATTCCATTTGAAAGTAGCACCTCTTCTAGTAACAATGACATTTGGTAACAATTTGTCGAAAAGCGTATTGGTGGCAGTTTGAGTCAGTGCGGCACTGAAGACCACGTGATACACCGGCTTTTCCAAAGCCAAAGAGCGTTCGGAAAAGCCACTGTGCTAGACGCCATAAGGGCAAAATCGTGTCCATAGCATAAGGTGGGCGTTTCTTTAAAGTTGCGTGCAGCTAGCCTACTATGTGCATTTTTTCCTCAAATAAGAAGCTTCAAACTTTTGTATAACATATATTACACAAGTATTTTGAACAACTGGTGTATCACAGCCATTACTTTCAAGAAAGTTAGAAAGAGTAAAGCAGCTGAAATATATTGATAGCGATGCACATGCATTTCACTAGGTTTTGTAAGAACTTGAAGTGTGGTATCAGTTATACCTTCCCCCCAACTGTACCTCGCTAAGTTGTCTTTGGAGGAGACTGAGTGTGCTTGTGTTCATGTGTGTGTGATTTTTGTCACGGCATTGCGTGCAGGTTTCCCGCAGACGGCGGACACTATTCGCTCGCTTTTCGGTATCCTCTGGATGGCGATAACAATGACTTTTGTTATCCCATCCCTCATTCCACGCCGCAAAAGACGTCAGGTTGTCTTCGGCCTGACATTGCTGTCTGATGGGTTCGAGAAGAGAGATTTGTCTGGTTTGAGCTGTGTATGTCAAGTTCCTCAAATTGGCTTCATTTCACACACCGGTACTTGCTATTGGTTTTCCAATGTTTTATTTGGTATCCTTTTATTCACATTCTTCAATATCAGATACAGACGGGGTACACGGCGGGATATCAGCGGTGCAGACTGTCAGCCACGCAAGCGCACGCACTCGTCTAATGCACGGCGTCCAGTGGCTAATCATGATGGCGGCCGGGTTGTCTATTAAGTTATTATATTAAGCTGTTATACAACTATTCTGTCCGCCGCCATTTCTATGGACATTAAATATATCTGGATCTAGGAAAATCATTGCAGCCGATTTGTGGGACTTGCGGTGTTAGTACCAGGGCTTGTTGGGATAGCCGTAGCCACCGTGTTTGATGTCGTAGTCGACGTTGACCTTGCTGTACGGCAGCTTTACGTTGTACCCACCGCGGGTGCGGCCACCGTAGTTGCTCTCGTACTTGCTCTGTTGAACGGCAGGTAGGTCAGATTTGAGGAAGCGGTCAGAGTTAATATTCACATTGATGTTTGAAACGGAGCTCAATTTAGAAATGTCGTCATCACAATGGTCCATTTTTCCAACTGATGCTGGCTAACCTGCATAGGAACTTGGAAATGCGAACGATTGGCGGATGCTGACACTGGTATTGCGATTCATTATACTTAATGCAGCCCAGCATTTCCCGGCACCGGTGGAGGGCTGTCATTGTCATCCCTCGCCACGCTGCATTACTGCTGACGTTGGTTCAGCACGGGTGGTCGATGCCCAGCTACCAAAGTCCCTCTCTGGCACTGGCGTGAGGGAATTATTAAATGGTTACTTCATAAGTTATTCTTGTCAGCAGATTTCAGATGAATACGCCACAAAGAAAGGTGACGTATGGTGTGACCATAAAACTACCTGGAGCTTCCTTCACGTAATATATGTAAAGCATTTGCCTCGCGAAAAACAAGAAATGGACCGTGCGTACGTCCTCACTTCGGTTGCGACAAACAAGCTGCTATTCTCACCTGATAGGCCTTTTCCCAGGGGTAGTAGATGTCGTAGTTGTACCGATAGTTATTCTTGCCGTATGGTTTGTAGCTGTAATAGTCTGGATAATATCCTCCGCCGTACTTGCCATAGTACCGTGGCTGGCCGTGGCCGTACGGGTACTTGTAATAGTCGTCATAATAGCCGTCGTAGTCTGCGGCGGCGCAGGCCACCAAGCAGAGAAGCGCTAAGAACTGATGACAGAGAAGTGTTATCAGGATTAAAGGATTTGCTGCTAACGCACCACGGTTTGTTGGGAGTGTTCATTTTGGGAAACATGGGCCGTTTCGTGAAGGTACAACTACACAGAGGCCTTGCGTGAGGGGTTTTAAGGTTTCAAGTACGACGGCCGCATACATGGATGATACACACATTCTAATGAAACACTTGGAACTCTTTGACATTCTATGACAGATTTGTGACAAATAGTTCTGATGTGTTAGGGATTCATACGTGGCTTGATGCCGTGTCAGACCCTCAGTATAGCCCTGCAACTTTTTCGTTTTTTTTCCATTCGCCATGGAAGTAGGGAAACTCATTGCAATTAGGGCACCTTTCGGAGTTAGATTTTTGATAAGGCTTAGTAATTTCAGGATTCCATGGCCTTACAACGTGGTCACCGCCTCCTTAAAGCATTATACGTTCGTGGACAATGGTATCGTTAAGCCCCATGCCCCCCCTGACCGTCCGTTTTGCTTACCTTCATGTCTGTTGTATTCGCGTTCGTTGTTCGCCGAAACAACATTGTCTCAGTCCTGCCGCCCGGCACCTTTATACCCCCCTTCAGCCTCGCCACGCCAACCAAAAGCCTGCTGCAACTTTTTTCCTCGCGGAGGCGGTCCGCACCTTGTACGAGCCACGCCCATGTCGCGTGCCGGCGTTCCAGTTACAGCTTTCCGTGGCTCATGCAGGGGGATGCGGTGCATTATTATCTCTTTTATAAAGGTCAGGTTTTTCCCCGCTCTGTTCAGGGCGGTAGCGTCACTACCGCTGAGACTTCAACGCAGCGCTTCCGCCAGCCATGGGGCATAACGCCGCGGGGCGGCAGGAACATTGTATATATTCGTACATACAATGAACGATGAATGGATAAACTGCTACCGGGGGGTACGCATGACCAGAGAGACGACGTCGGAGCATTTAACAGCGGGTATGATGGCGGGATTTGCAAGGCTATGTTGCTAGCCATAGATATGTAACGACACGAGAAATGAAAACGCACACAAAATAATGATGCGAGATAGGACGGTCGGAAATCAGGGCTCTCTTCGATAATATCTCTTATCCTTTCGCATGGATAATAAATAATCTGGTGCATATCGCAAGTGAGTCAATTGCGTAAAATTTCATGTCGAGTATAATGCTGCGCTTTAAAAGATTATCCTGTTTATTCTAATGATTAACCATTAGAATAAAGTCGGCTTACGAGTTGAAAACCCTACGCGAGAGCCCCTGCAGAGATGGGCTGCTCGGACATGAGACTGATTTCGTAGCGATTATGGGCAAATTGTTGGGGATACGTACATATAGCCAGGTGGACCAAAGCGTAGAATTTCATGAGGAGCGTGATGATTTGTTGATTGCAAGTCTATATACGCGTAGCGGTTGAAAATCAATCAGCCTGAAAAGATAGAACAAGCATGCGCGAATTGCTAGGCACGTCAGGTAGTCAGCTAACCAATGGAGTGGAGTTAAATGGCAAGCATGATCATGGGCTTTTTGAGCTAACATTAAGTAAACCTCTTCGAATTCATTCATCGCGGAAAGTGAATACGCCTACGCGGGACACAGGTACCCGGAAGGATGAGACCCCAACATTCTCAGAATCTAGCACTGGCATTGAACATTGGCACTGGCATTTATAATTAATTACAATTCCGGAAGCAGTACACGTGCAAAAATAAAAAGATCTCAGAAGTAATACACAAATATGCGTGATCCCATCTCCCCAATAGAGCGTCTAGCTCATTCAGCTAGTCCAGTTCACGCCACGTTGCATGCCCTTGCGCTGCTTATATCTCGCTGCCTACGCTTCGCTGACGGCGGTGGCGGAATCTTGCCGCGTGGGATACGCCACCATTCAGAAGATCATCCGTGATCGTCACACCATAAATGACGGCCATCATCCGATTATCTATAGTCATCAAACGTATCCTATGGTTTTATTTATATCAGCGATGTAGTTTCCTATTTAGCAGGGACCTCCAACCCGAACCTCTTCCCCTACCCCGCCCCACGAGCTTGTATCGCTACTTTTTCGATGTATGGTGTTCATGCGCGCTTTGGTGTATTTGAAAATGCCGCACACAGTTGATGCAGAGAACGAACAAATTTAGCATTACTTCTCGTGCTTTTCTGCATTACGAGTTCAGAGTTCAGTGCTAGATTATTGATCTACAGGTTGTTATGAGTAACTGGTTAAACGACATGCAACAAACATTGGTTAAATCATACCAGGTCTGATGATGACATTTGGAAGTTTCGAGTTTACGGCAAAACATTGGCGCAGTGATCTATAATTGTTTTTAAGCTAAGGTGAGAGTGACGCGTTTGACCGCAAAAAGACCAGAGAAGAGTGAAAAAATACATTCACATCAGCGGGAACTAACTTAATCGGTGACAGATGCACCGACGAACGAGAAGTATATGACATAATATTAATCTCCATAAACTCTCCCCCCCCAAACAAATGTATTCTCTCACATCTTAGGTACGCATTATTAAACGCTCTAAGAACAGTGTCCGACTCAAGTTTTAAATATTGCTTTTGTTGGTAGGTTAGGTTAATAATTAGGTGCATCAAAAGGGGATATTATGTAATTGTTAAGTATTTTACTTGCAATTACTTTTATTTATAAACACCGTCTTTATAAATGTTGGCTTGTTTCTGCCATCCTCCTCTCCCAGCAATAGGAAGCAAGTAAGATCAACGTTGTTCTAAGGATACGAGTAAACAATGTTGAAGGGCAAAATATTGTTCGATGGCAGCTAACAAAAGAGCTGGCAAACACGCACCGTAGAACCACAAGATTATTTACAACCGTGAAAGGTACACTACGCTCTATGCCTTTTACCAAGGCTATATAGACCCTTAAACGGGGCTACATAAACCCAAGGCGAATAAGTGAGCACTGTATAAGCTGCTGCGCCATTATGTCCTAAAGCTAGGAATGGTAGGATAAGGTAAATTGATGGGGTTTGTAGTTTGAATGGCTTACATTTATCACTATCGAGCCACGTTATGAGCCCAAGACCACAGCATGCACTTTTTCCAGGATGCAACTTGTGATACAGTTAATTTCTTCCCCCCAGTTATGTCCTTTATGTGCAATGAATTGTTCACTCCTGGGTGTTCATTTAGCGCCTTTGGGTGGCTGGTAAATTGGTCCATTATAGCCTTTAATTAAGTGCAGTTTCCCAGTCATTTCACTTTGAAGGCGCATTTATTGATATTTTAGACAAAAAAGCGTAAAGGTAAGAAAAGAGGCAAAATGCATTTGCATTACATTTGTATTAGAGCAAGACAAACAAAAGTAGGTATGACAATACAGGCAGTATATAAGCGCACTAAAAGCAAACCAGTCTTGCTTTATAGCCCGCGCTGTCATGATTTCACTTTTTTGAATGCGTCTTTTTCACGACTACGTTTCTATCAACGCGTTTCTCAGTATTTTTTCGTTTTTTCCCATTTTTCGACGTTTTTTATAACAACGTCTGTCAGTAGCTACATGCGGCGTACCCGACAGCAGCTTCAACGAGAAGCTTTAGCGCGTTTTTCAGTGCACAGAATTGAAGGATAATTAATAGTTGTAGATCCCGCCCGTCCCAGCTTGTGGCGACTGCTGTCTCCGCCTGCGCAGACCGCGTGAGCGGTGCGCCACCGAGCGTGCCGGGTGCGTACAATCCCACTGTGTCGGTACCAGAGTGGTGAGTACCACACACTCGCAGGGAGATGCAGGAGTCGGATCCGGCTACTTTCGGATGGCTGTCGACGAACTGGACGACCTAATGGATATTATGACCCTAAGTAATTAATTGCGGGACACATGACTTCGACGATCGACCGTCACCTCCGACGGGATGCGGAAGCAGTGCACGAACAGAGATTCAGAGATCCGTGAAGCAGTGCACGGATATGCGTGATCATGTCTTTCCACAAGAGTGTCTAGCTCATCGAGCTCACCCAGCTCACACCATGCTGTTTGCCCTTTCACTGTTTGTTGCTTGCTTCTTGCGTATCGGTGAAGGCGGTGGCGGTATCACACCGTCTCGGATACGCCACCATTCAAAACACCATTTGTGATAATCAAATCATAAATGGCGGCCGTCATTCGGATCATTCATAACCATCAAAGATATCACATAGTTCCAATGGTGTCAGTGGTGCAGTTTACTACAAGACGTTCAACGCTGACATGCGAGTAAAGTGTATGCCTCTGAACACTGATCGCCAAAGACATACATACTCATGTCCCAGGAGGGGACTTGAGCATAAAAGCAGGAAATAAGCCGTGTAGCAGCAGCCCATTGTGCAATAAAGCAAAACGTGGTGCGGGGAAAAACTGAAGCCGGAACAGCTCGCGGCACGGGCGTGTCAATGAGCGATAAGATGTGGAACGCCTCCCCGCAAGGAAAACATGTTGCGGCCGGCCGTCCCAGGTCTCTGACTGGCAAGCCGCTGATGTCAGGGAATATAAAGGTATAGGGCGGCAGGGCTGAGACATTGTTTTTCCGGCGTAAACGAAGCGTGGAGACAACAGACATGAAGGTAAGCAATACGGGCGGGTACGGAGGCTATAGAGGTTAACGATGCGATTGTCCAAGAACGTGTCGTGCTTTAAATAGGCCGTGATGATGCTGTCAGCACCATCGACATCCTGAAATTTCGGTGTCTTGACAACAGTAGTTTCTCAAAGGCGCGCTAGCCGCAAAAAAAAATCTTCGACAATTCCAAAGGGCATAGGAAACAGAAAATAATGCATGGTTATACAAAGATGAGACAATGTGCCTGCGCCAGCAAACGTCTTCAACGCATCCGAGTTGGTTGCCAGGAAACTATCACAGTCTGTGGTAGCTTTGTGGTAGCTTCTGTGATACCTTAGCTTTTTCAATTGGAATGTTAAAACTTGGACCATGCATGTCATTCACGCATGGCGTCACTTCACTTCAAAACGCTACAACACATTTCAATCACGCTGTCTCTTTCACGAAACGCCTCATGTTTCTTAAGCTGGGCTCTTCCAACAGTTCTTGGTGCGTATAACAACAAGTCCTTAACTTTGTCTGACAAAACTCCCCTTTCATCAGCTCCTAGTGCTTCTCTGCTTGGTGGCTTGTGCTGCCGCAGACTACGACGGCTACTATGGCGGCCAGTACAAGTACCCGGGCAGATACGGCCCGCCAGGCTACTATGGCAAGTACGACGGAGGATATTATCCAGACTACTACAGCTACAAACCATACGGCAAGAACAACTATCGCTACAACTACGACATCTACTACCCCTGGGAATGGGCCAAGCAGGTGAGAATAGCAGCTAGACTGCCGTAACCTAGGGGAGAATGTACGCACCGATTATTTCTTATTTTCCATGAGGCAAATGCTTTACACATTGTTAGCGAGCAAACGGGCCGTCGCAGCCGGCGCGGCGGCGGCGGCACCGCGAGGGTGTGAGCTGGTTCCGATTGGTTCCCACCATCTTTGCCCATTCACCCACGCGGGTTTATGGGGACACGTGGGCGGGGACGCATGGTCCTTGCCCCGAGCAATCCACGTTCAGACTCCGCCGGCGCGGCTTGACGCGAGCCGCGACAGCGTTTACGACGACGACGACGCCGACGACTTCGGAGTGTGCGACGCCGCCCTTCCAACCCCTCTCTTACATTTGCCTTGCAAGTATTTGGCTAATAGAGACCCTTCCTTTTCAACGTCCATTTTCGAATTAAGTCGATGGTCCTCCGGAAAACTGACGAACTCTTTCGCACAAACATTCTGGTCCTCCAGGTCGGATGTAAGTGAACTCTTTCGCACGAACATATATATTACGCAAACGAAACACCAGTAAGGCTAAATATTCATACCATACGTCACCTTTCATTGTGGCATATTCATCTTAATTTAGCTAGTAAGAATGCCTCATGACATAACTATGCAATAACTCCCTTATCTTAGTACTACAGAAAGATTTGGTACCAGGGCACCGGCAGCCCGCACTGAACCAGCACCAGCAGTACTGCAGGGGAGCGAGGGATGATAATGCCAGCCCTCCACTGATGCCGGGAGGTGCTGGGCTGTATTTAGTGTAATAAAACTCAACGCCAGTGTCAGTATCCGCCAAGCGTCCCCTGTTCCAAGTCGGTCCCCATGCATCTTGGCTGACGTTATTTGGCGAGCGGAACTATTATGATGAGGTTTTTCTATGTTTCGGTCTTTTCTAGACCGCATCGTAAACGTCAGCGATGACCACTTCTTCAAAGCTGACCTACCTGCCGTCCCACAGGGCAAGTACGAGAGCAACTACGGCTGGCCGCACCCGCGGCGGGTATTATGTAAAGCTGCCGTACAGCAAGGTCAACGTCGACTACGACATCAAACACGGTGGTCACGGCTATGGCAAACAGTACTGGTGGTAACACCGCAAGGTCCCACAACTCGGCAGCAATTGCTTTGGTGATTGAGGTATCCCTAACTGATATACTGATGGCGGCGGACACACGCCAACAGTTACCGACCAGCCTTCCGTAATCGTGATAAGCCATAACTTCAGGTCTGTGTGCTGTGAATAAGCCGGCGCCCGTGTGCTGGTGGGCTGAGTGCGCATGTGTGGCCGACAGTTTGCACCACTAATATCGCGTTGTGTGCCACGTCTTTATCTGATTGTTAAGACTATGAATAAATGACAAATCAAACCAAGTGGACGTTACATATGTATGTCATGGAAGCAGCCTGAATAACTGCGCATATGCAAAACAACCCAAGCATGATGACATGATGCAAAACAACCCACATGATGCCTAAACGTGAGTGAATAGAGGCTGGCTCCTGTGGGGGCCTGGCAACTTGGATTAAGTAACACATTGCAATGTTCTATCGTTTATAAATTTAGCAGGACAACTGAATACACTGCAGAAAGTTCGAGGTCGAAGAACTGCATGAAATCCTTATAGAACAGGAGAGTTTCACACTAGAAGTATGGACACTAGATTTAACATCAAACTCAAATGCAGACAAGCACCATCAGATCAAAGGTAAACTTCCGGCAAGTAAGCTATGGGCTGCTTCAAAACTCAACTATGACGCCAGAGAGCAATTTCCTACAAAACGGAGATTGCACCAACATTACATGACAAGTATATGGAACACAGCACCGGTGGTGCACTGGGACAAAACTGAAACGCCAAACACATGCATCGTTTCCTGACGCAATCGTTGGACTTAAACGTGGGGCAGTTAAGCGTACTGAAAAATAACGCGCCCTTCACTGGAGTAGCGATCAAGACTTGTTTTAAATAAGTTCAGAGAGGGACGCATAACAACTTCGAACAGAAGGTTGTTGAAAACTTGCTAAAAATAGTGAGAAACGTCTTGTTAGTGGGCCTATCGAGAACGTGAGCTATATTTTAGAAATGAGTCATGTCACTACTCTTTGTTTGTTGTCATGTCATTGTCACTGTCACACTGTGACGTGTTACTACTCATGTCACACTATTTGTTCTTTGTATACTAAATCCTAGCCCTAGCCAGCGGACAGCTGATGACGGCGGAACCTGCTGATGGCCGTCGTCGAGTGCTACGGGCTAGACGCACCACACTTTTCAGCTGCCTCATGAATGGCCATATTGTTCTTGAGGTCAAAGATGCGCGCACAACGAGTGTATGGTTTATCACTTCTGTCGTTGATGTGGATATTACCTTCCTACGTAGCACAGGACGGAAAGATCGGAGTATGAATGCACGGAACGCAAATAGCTTTATGTACTTCTGTGGGTAGCGAGATCTATCTCGAGATCTCGAGATCTATAAGATGTCTGCATTTCATGCAGTGATAAAAGTGATCGTGATGAAAAATAATAGAAGTCTATGAATTAATCGTCGCACAAACACAACTTCATTACCGACTTAAACCATAAATGACCACCTTTTCAGGTTACCTTAGCGATAGCACACGATTTATTACAGGCATCCTTACCTCTCGGGTGCAAAGCAACAACATTGTTGCCAGGGTAACGGCCGTTTGTCTCGCTCTTGAATTTACTTCATATCGGCATGCTACAATTACTTCGGAGGAGTGATGCCATTTATCAAACCGGCGTACCAATGTACGGAGTTACGTCGAAATTACTTCAGGCAGTCCAAAGTAAGTAGTAACCTTTCTTTATTCTGCGGGTCACAGGGCACGCGCAACATGCGCTGCGATACGTTTTAAACAAAAACTCGGTCATCCTTCCACATAATTGTTTGAAACTTGGTACGGGCGTCCTTCATAGTCGTATTTAGGACACGTTTTTGATGTTCTCATAGCTTTGAATCTCAAGACAAAAATGAGCGTAATTTTTATACATATTTTTGTTATATGACATGCCAATATTTGAAGGTGCAATTCTAAAGGAACATGACAAGGCAAATAACAAATGGAATGATTGTCCCACGTTTCCTCTTTTTAAAATACATCTTTGGTTGGACTTGTACGTGCATTTGTCCCCGGCTTCGCGCTTTTGTAAGAAAATCGGCAAATACAACATCATCCTCACAGTTGTGACCTTTGATCAGTTATGGTCTCACAGTTGTTATTTCGCTGGCACAAGGGGCAGAACTCATTCAGTGACAGCACCTAAAAATTTATCAGCAATATCTCATGCGTTTTTAAATAATTATGAATTGTTCGACAGAGAACACATTTGAACCTTTCTCTAATTAATGCCGGGATAGCTTCCAGAATCGGCTGAGTTAGGCTCACGTACCTGGAGCTGTCTGGATGGGTCTTGCATCCCTTTTTCTTCATTTTTTACAACATAGCTGATTTCTAAACCACAATTTGTGGCACACCATGCGGGCATTTGGGTGGTGGTGCTAGATATGATGGAAGTGTGGTTGACAATCAAAAAGCTTAAGGGTAGGCTGTAAAAAGAATGCGAAGCCAAGGAAAAGCATAAAATCACGAACAAACGTGCGAAAATATCACAAGAAATGCTAATCCATGTACTCAAAACGATCCTCGCTTAAGTACACACTAATCAATTAGCGAACCACCTCTCGACGAGTTGATGTACAAGTAAGCCAACACGTCTGCTGCCGTGAAAATTCTGGCACGGCCGGTCTGACAGCGACTCTCACGTCATAAAAACCTTTTCATGCATAATCAAGTGATTGCCTAATGAGGTGCATGTGTACTAAATAATCAAATCGTGTTGTTTAGAGCATCTTTGGGATTTAAAAGCACGCCAACAGTAACAAGTGAGATTTTCCATCATGTATGGTCCTCGCCTCAGAATCTTCAAATGCGGAACATTCCCTTCAACCGCGCCCATGTCAGAATGCAGCGCTTGAGCCAGGAAATTATGGATGCTTTTGTTTTTTCAGCTCCGTTGCTGTGCGCTGCCCGTGATCTGTTCAATACGAATATCATGTCAAAATGCTGTCATCTCCATTTTGCAAGGAGTCCCAGTGTGTTGTCAGTTATACCCCCTCCCCCCCCCCCTAACTGTGCCTCGCTAAGTTGTCTTTGGAGGAGACTGTGTGTGCTTGTGTTCATATGTGTGTGATCTCCAAAAACATGCGTGTGACAGGGTTGATAAATTTGACTTACCAAACAGATTGTGGCTCCTTAATTTACAAACGCATGGGATGTCGATGTCTTAGGAGTGACATGGCTCGTGCGCAGGGCATAATTAACGACATGGATACAACCAACAGTAATATATTTCTGAACATCATCCAAAGCCCAACAAGACCAAAAGTGAATTTAAACCAGAGCGCGTAAGGTGTAGGACAGACCTAAGACAAAACTCATTCAGTGTCAGGATTGCTAAGGTCTTGAACATCAAATACAGGCGGGGTACGTAAGACAATATCAACACTGCAGACTGTGTGCCACGCATGCGCACTCGGCCCTCCAGCACACGAGTGCCGGCTCATTCACAGCGGACGGACCTGGAGTTGTGGCTGGTCACGATTACCGTAGGCTGGTTGGTAACTATTGCTTCTGTCCACCGCCATCACTATATCAGTAAGGGATGTTTGGATTCACCATGAAATGGCTGCCGAATTATCGAACTTGCGGAGTTAGTACCAGGGCTTTTTGGCATAGCCGTAGCCGCCGTGTTTGATGTCGTAGTCGACGTTGACCTTGCTGTACGGCAGCTTCACGTTGTACCCACCGCGGGTGCGGCCGCCGTAGTTGCTCTCGTACTTGCTCTGTGGAACGGCTGGTGGGTCAGCTTTAAGAAGGTGGTCAGTGTTGATTTTCACATTGATGTTTGAAAAGGAGCTTAATTTAGAAATGGTGTCGTCACCATGGTCCATTTTTCCAACTGATTCTGGCTAACATGCATGGGAACCTTGGAATGAGAACGCCTCGAGAATACTTAAACTGGCGTTGCGATTCATTATACTTAATGCAGGCCATCATTTCCCGCCAAATGGTTATTAAATGGTTATTTCATAAGTCATTCTTCTCAGCTTATTTTTTTAATGAATACGTCACAATGAAAGGTGACACATGGTATGAACATGGAACTGACTGCTGTTTCCTTCACGTAATATATGTGAGGCATTTGCTTCGTGAAAACAAGAAATAGTCCGCGCGTACGTCCTCACTTGGGTTGCGACAGACTGCTATTCTCACCTGATAGGCCTTTTCCTTGGGGTAGTAGATGTCGTAGTTGTACCGATAGTTATTCTTGCCGTATGGTTTGTGGCTGTAGTAGTCAGGATAATATCCTCCGTCGTACTTGCCATAGTACTGTGGCTGGCCGTATCTGCCCTGGTACTTGTAATAGTCGTCATAATAGCCGTCGTAGTCTGCGGCGGCGCAGGCCACCAAGCAGAGAAGTACTAAGAACTGGTGGCAGAGAAGTGTTATCAGACCGATTAAAGGATTTGCTGTTAATGCAACGCGGTCTGTTGGAAATGTTCATTTTGGGAAACTTGGGCCGATCCGTGAAGGTACAACTACGCAAAGGCCTTGCCTGAAAAGTTTTAAGGTTTCAAGTACGACAACCTCATACGTTGACGATATACACATTCCAATAAAACACTTGAAACTCTATGACATTCTACGACAGATCTGTGACAAACAATTCTGATATGTCTGGGATTCATGCGTGGCTTGATGCCTTGCCAGACCCTTTGTAAGACCCTGCAACTTTTTCGTTTGTCTCCGTTCGGCTTGGAAATAGGGAAACTCCATTGCACTTATAATTTCAGGATTTCATGGCCTTGCAACGTGGTCATCGCGTCCTTAAAGCACTATGCGGTCGTGAACAATGGTATCGTTAAGCCCCATGCCCCCCCTGACCGTCCGTTTTGCTTACCTTCATGTCTGTTGTATTAGCGTTCGTTGTTCGCCGAAAGAACAATGTCTCAGCCCTGCCGCCCGGCACCTTTATACCCCCCTTCAGCCTCGCCACGCCAACCAAAAGCCTGCTGCAACTCTTTTCCTCGCGGAGGCGGTCCGCACCTTGTACGAGCCACGCCCATGTCGTGTGCCGGCGTTCCAGTTACAGCTTTCCGTGGCTCATGCAGGGGGATGCGGTGCATTATTATCTCTTTTATAAAGGTCAGGCTTTCCCCCGCTCTGTAGAGGGCATTGACGTCACTGCTGCTGAGAGTTCAACGCAGCGCTCCCGCCAGCCACGGGGCATAACGCCGCGGGGCGGCAGAAACATCGTATATATTCGCACACATAATGAAAAAAACTGTTAGCGGGAGGTTTATATGACCAGCGAGACGATGTCGGAAAACTTAACAGCGGGTATGATGGCGTGATCTGCAAGGCTGTGTTGCTAACCATAAATATGTAACGACACGAGAAATGAAACGCACACAAAATAATTATGCGAGTTAGGACGGTAGGAAATCAGAGCTCTCTTCGATGATATCTCTTATCCCTTCCCATCGATAATGGAGAATCTGGTGCATATCGCAAACCAGTCAATCGCGTAGAATGTCACGTCGAATATAATCCTGTGTTTTAAGACTCGCATGCTTAATCTAGTCGCCACCCATTAGAATAAAGTCGGCGTGGCAATTGAAAGCTCTTAAGCGAGAAGCCCTGCAGAGATGGGTTGCTGGGACATGGGACTGATGTCGTAGCGATTGTGAACAAACTGTTTGGGGTTCGTGTATATAACCAGGTGGACGAAAGCGTACAATTTCATAGGGGGAGCATGATGATTTGTTGATTGCAAGTCTATATATGCCTAATGGTTAAGACGCAATCGGCCTGAACAGATAGAACAAGCATGCGCGAATTGTTACGTACGTCCGGTAGTCCGCAAACCGATAGGGTAGAGTTAAGTGGCAAGCATGATCATGGGCTTGGTGAGCTTACATTTAGTAAACCTGTTAGAATTCAATCGGTGCGGAAAGTAAATACGCATACGCGGGACACAGGTACCCGGGAGGATGAGACCCCAACATTCTTAGAATCTAGCACTTGCATTGAACATTGGCATTGGCATCGGTAATTAATTACAAGACATAATAAATTTGACGATTGACTGTCATCCCCGACAGGATCCGGAAGCAGTACACGTACAGAAATCAAGAGAGCTGGGAAGTAATACACAAATATGCGTGATCCCATCTTCCCAATAGAGCGACTAGCTCATTTAGCTCGTCCAGCCCAGGCCACGCTGCATGCCCTTGCGCTGCTTATATCTCGCTGCTTGCGCTTCGCTGACGGCGGTGGCGGAATCTTAGCGTGTCGGATACGCCGCCATTCAGAAGAGCATGCGTAATCATCGAACCATAAATGACGGCCATCATCCGAATTATTGATAGTCATCAAACATATCCTATAGTTCCATTTATATCACCGGTGTAGTTTCCTATTTAGCAGGGGTCTCCAGGCCTCCCCCTCATCCTACCCCATTCCACGAACTTGTGTCGCTACCTTTTCGGTGCGCGGTATTGATACGCGCTTTGGTGCATTTGAAAATGCTGAACACAGTTGATGAAGGGAACCGACAAGTTTTATATCACTTCTCGTGCTTTTCTGCATGACGAGTTCAGAGTTCAGCACAAAATGACTGATCTACAGGTTTTGATGAGGAACTGGTTAAACGACATCCAAAAGCATTGATTTTATTATACCAGGTCTGATGATGACATGTGGAACTTTCGAGCTTACGGAAAACATTGGCGCAGTCAGCTATAATTGTTTTAAAGCTGAAATGTGAGCGATGCGTTTAACCCCAAAAAGACCAGAGAGGAGTGAACAAATGTATTCACATAAACTGGAACCGAATCAAGCGTTGACAGATGCCCCGGGGAGCAAAAAAGCTCCCATTTGATATTATATTAATCTCCATCAATCCTCCCCCAAAAATCGCATTTTCTCGCATCTTAGGTGCGCATTATTAGATCTTTTAACGGGAGTGTCCGAATTTGATTTTCAATCTTGTTTTATAGGTAGGTTAGGTTAATAATTAGGTGCCCTAGAAGGCGACATTATTTAACATTCAAGTATTTTGCTTGTTCCTTTTTTAGTCATGAGCACCGTCTTTTTAAAGGTAGGCTTGTTTCTGCCATCCCCACTCTCAGCAATAAAAAGCAGGTAAAACAACGTTGTTTTTAAGATAGGAGTAAACAATGTTCCAGGTCAAAATATTGCTTCGATGACAACTCACAAAAGAGCTTGCAAACCTTCACCGTAGAACTAAAGAGTTATTTACAATCGTCAAAGGTACAATACGATCCATTCTTTTACCAAAGCTATGCAAAGCTGTGAGCAAGGCCGCATAAGCGCGAGGTGAATAAAAAAAACACTTTACTGAATAATCTGCTGCGCCACTATGTCCTAAAGCTATGCACGGTAGGATGAGGTAAATTGATGGTTATCGGGCCACTCATTCGCCAAAAACTACGGAATGCACTTTTTCAAAGCTGAAATTTGCGATCCATGTAATTTCTTTTGTCCGATTATGTCATTCGTATGCCATAAGCTGTGTACTTCTGGGTGCTCATTTAACGCGTTTGCGCGGCTGGTGGATTGGTCCTTTATAGCTTTTAAGTAAATACAATTTCCCGGTCGTTTCACTTTCAAGGCGTATTTATTGACACTAGACCAAAGATAGAATGTTTAAAGGTAAGAAAAACAAGGCAAAAATCATTTGCGTTACATGTGTATTAGACGAAGACAAACAGAAGTCGGTGCGGAACTACAGGCACTATACAAAGACGCTGTAAACATAATAGTCTTGCTTTCATGGCCCGCGCATTTCATGATTTAGCTTTTTTGAATGCGTCTTTTTCACGTCAGTAACTGTATGCAACGTACCCGACAGTAGCTTCAACGATAAACTTTGGCGCGTTTTCCAGGTAGTCCACAAAATTGAAGGATAATTAATAGTTGCAGATCCCGCCCGTCCCAGCTTGTGGCGACTGCTGTCTCCGCCTGCGCAGACCGCGTGAGCGGTGCGCCACCGAGCGTGCTGGGTGCGTACAATCCCACTGTGTCTGTACCAGAGTGGTGAGTACCACGCACTCGCGCGGGAGATGCAGGAGTCGGATCCGGCTACTTTCGGATGACCGTCGACAAATTTGGCGACCCATTGGATATCTTATGACCTTCAGTGATTAATTACAGGGCATCTAATTTCGGCGATTGACTGTCATCTCCGACAGAATCCGGAAATAGTACACGAAAAGAGATCCAGAGATCCGATAAGCGGTACACGGATACGCGTGATCCTGTCTCTCCAATAGAGCGTCTAACTCATCTATACCTGGTCTAGCTCATATCACGCTGCTTGCCCTTGCGCTGCTTGTTCCTCGCTGCTCCCGCTTCGACGAAGGAGGTGGCGGAATCCTACCCTTTCGGACACGTCACCATTCAGACGATCATGAGCGGTCATCAAATCATAAATGACGCTCGTCATTCGGATTATCCTCGTTCATGGTTTAAACCCCATAGCTTCATTCATATCAGTGGTGTAGTTGCGCACAAGAAGCTCAGCGCAAACATGCGAGTTCCGTGTATGTTTATCACCAATGGTCGCCACAGGCATACGTAAACCTGTCTCAGAAGGGGACACAAACATGAAAGCAGGAAATAAGCTGTGTAACTACAGCCCATTATGCAACAAAGCAAAACGTGGTGTGGGGATGAAAACTGAAACCGGGCCGCCAGCACACGACATGGGCGTGTCTCCTTTAAGGCATGGAACACCTCTTCGTGAGGAAAAAATGTTGAGGCCGGCCGGCCCAGGTCTCTGGCTGGCAAGCCCCTGACGTAGAGGAATATAAAGGCACCGGTCGGCAGGGCTGAGACATTGCTTCTCAAGCGAACACCGAACGCGAATTCAACTGACATGAAGGTGAAGCAATACGAGTACAGAGATCATGGGGATGAACAGGACGAGTGTCCAAGAACGTACAATACTTGAAGTAGGCCGTGATGAGGCTGTCGGCGCAATCGGCATCCTGAAATTGATTCGTCTTGACAACCGCAAATTCACAAAGGGCGCTAGCTGCAACATGTCTTTCATATTTCCAAAGGGCACGGAAAAACGGAAAACAATGTATGGTCATACAAAGATGGAACAATGTGCCTACGCAAACAAAGGTCTTCAACGAGTCCGAGATGGTTGTCAGGAAACTATCACAGTCTGTGGGAGTTTTTCCGATCATGGTGCTAAATATTGGACCATGTATATCATTCACGCATGACGTCACTTTACTTCAAAGCGTTCCAAAACATTTCAAGCATTGCCCTTTCACGAGACGGCCCATGTTTATTGAGCTTGACGCTTTTAACAGTTCTGAACTCTGACAAAACTTCCCTTCCATCAGCTCCTAGTGCTTCTCTGCTTGGTGGCGTGTGCTGCCGCAGACTACGACGGCTATTATGGCGACCAGTACAAGTACCCGGGCAGATACGGCCCGCCAGTCTACTATGGCAAGTACGACGGAGGATATTATCCAGACTATTACAGCTACAAACCATACGGCAAGAACAACTACCGCTACAACTACGACATCTACTACCCCTGGGAATGGGCCAAGCAGGTGAGAATAGCAGCTAGACTGCCGTAACCTAGGGGAGAATGTACGCACCGACCTAGTACTACAGAAGGACTTGGTGCCAGGGCACCGGCAGCCCGCACTGAACCAACACCAGCAGTACTGCAGCGGAGCGAGGGATGATAATGCGAGCCCTCCACTGATGCCGGGAAATGTTGGCCTGTATTTAGTGTAATAAACGCAACACCAGTGTCAGTGTCCGCCATGCGTTCCCGGTTCTAAGTCGGTCCCCATGCATTTTGGCTGGTGTTAGTTAGGGAGCGGAACCATTATGATGACGTTTTTCTATTCTTCGGTTTTTTTCTAGACCGCAGCGTAAACGTCAACGATGACCACTTCTTCAAAGCTGATCTACCTGCCGTTCCACAGGGCAAGTACGAGAGCAACTACGGTGGCCGCACCCGCGGCGGGTATTATGTAAAGCTGCCGTACAGCAAGGTCAACGTCGACTACGACATCAAACACGGTGGCCACGGCTATTCCGAAAAGCCCTGGTACTAACACCGCAAGTTCCACAAATCGGCAGCAATTGCTTTGGGTACTGAGGTATCCCTAACTGATATACTGATGGCGGCAGACAGACACCAACAGGTACCGACCAGCCCTCCGTAATCGTGATAAGCCATAACTTCAGGTCTGTGTGCTGTGAATAAGCCGGCGTCCGTGTGCTGGTGGGCTGAGTGCGCATGCCTGGCCGACAGTTTGCACCACTAATATCGCGTCATGTACCATGTCTTTATCTGATAATTAAGACCATGGACAAAAGACAAATCAAACCAAATGGACAGTGCATATGTATGTCATGGAAGCAACTTGAAGAACTAAACATATGCAAAACAACTCAAACATGCTATCTCTATACAGATGATGCCTAAACGTGAGTGAATAGAGGCTGGCCTCTGTGGAGACCTGGTAACTTGGATTAAGCAACGCATTGCAATGCTCTATCGTTTATAAATTTGGCAGGAAAAATGAATACACTGCAGAAAGTTGCTGGTCGAAGAACTGCATGAAATCCTGAGAGAACAGGAGACTTTCACACTAGAAGTATGGGCACTAGATTGAACATAAAAGTCAAATGCAGACAAGCACCATCAGAGCAAAGGTAAACTTGCGGCGAATAAGTTATGGGCTGCATAAAAACTCACCTGTGACATCACAGAGCAACGTCGTACAAAACGGAGATTGCACCAACTTCACATGACAAGTACATGGAACAAAGCACCGGTGGTGCACTGGGACAAAACTGAAACGCAAAACACTTGCATCGTTTCCTGACGCATTCGTTGGACTTCAACGTGGTCCGCCTTTCCAGCCTACTGGAAAATAACGTGCTCTTCACTGAAGTGGCGATCAAGACGTGCCTGAAATAAGTTCAGATAGGGACGCATAACAATTTCGAACAGAAGCTTGTTAAAACTTGCTAAAAATGATGAGAAATGTCTTAGTCCTACCGAGAACGTGAGTTATCTTTTAGAAGTGAGTCACGTCACTACTCAACCGACGATTTCAAAGTGATTTGAAATAAGGGGTCTTAATCTTCCTTGGTATTCACAAATTATCAGCTCTGTTACCAGTTTGGTGCTTTGTCTTTAAACCCGTTCTATTTCATCTGAATAGCGGGCGAATAGGAGATTTTGGACTGGGAAGCAGTACTTTACGCCAGGTTTTACAAATGAACAAAAAAGTTGTTGAATATCATTTCTCGCATCGTGCACAGCTCTATTTAGCATACGACGCATCTTAAAGAAAGTATTTCAATCTAAGGCCATGCTTTGAAAGCAAGCTCTGGTTAGATCTCATACTCGGGTTAAATCTCGTGACTAGTGACGTCGAATAATAGTACTGGGTCGGGCCATTGCCGCACCATTAAGGCATGATGATTAGTTTTCGAATCCAACTCCGCTACCAACGTTTCGTCACAGCTTATTTGTTCCTTGTATCCTAAATCATAGCCCTAGTCCGCGGCAGCTGATGACGGCGGAATCTGCTGATGGCTGTCAAGTGTTACGGTCTAGAGGCACCACACTTTTCAGCTGCCTCATCAATGGTCATGTTGCTCTCAAGGTCAAAGATGCGCGCAAAACGAGTGTAGGGTTTATCACTGTTGCCGTTGATGTGGATAATATCGTCCTACGTAGCACAGGAAGGAAAGCTCTGAGTATGAATGCACGGAACGCAAATAGCTTTATGTACTTCTGCTAGTAGCGGAACAATATCGAGATCTATAAGGTGTTTCCATTTCAGGGAGTGATAAAAGTGATCATAATGAGTATTGATTGAAGTCTATGAATTAATCGTCGCACAAACACAACTTTATTATCGACTTAGACCACACATGACCACCTTTTTTATGTTACCTTAGCAATATTGCTGGATTCATTATAGGCATCCATAACTCTCGGGTCCAAAGCAACAACATTGTTACCACGGGAACGGCCGTTTGTATCGCTCTCGAAATTATTTCATCTCGGCGTGCTGCAATTACTTTGTAGAAGTGATGCCATTTATGAAACCGGCGTATCAAATTACGGAGTTACGTCGAAATGACTAAAGTAAGCAGTCCAAAGTAAGAAGCAATTTCTCTTTATGAAGCTGGTCACAAGACATGCGCAACATGCGCTGCGATACGTTTTAAACAAAAACTCAGTCATTCTTCCACGTAATTGTTTGAAACTTGGTACAGGCGTCCTTCGTAGTCGTATCTAGGACACTTTTTATGTTTTCATGGCTTTGAATCTGAAGACCAAAGTGAGCGAACTTTTTATAAATATTTTTGTTATATCACATGTTAATATTTGAAGGTGCAATTCTAAAGGAACATGACAAGGCCTATAACGAATGGACTGATTGTCCCACATTTCCCTTTTTTAAATGTGAATTACGTCTTTTGTTTGACTTGTACGTCCATTTGTCCATCCACTTGGCTTCGCGCTTTTGTGAGAAATCAGCAAATAGAGCATCATCATCATAGCTGTGACGTTTGATCAGTTGTGGTCTCATAGTTGTTATTTTGCTGGCACAAGGGTTGGAACTCATTAACTGTCAACACCTAAAAATTGCTCAGCAAAATCTCATGCGTTTTTAAATTATCCTGAATTGTTCTACAGAGAAGACATTTGAACCGTTTTCTAATAAATACCGGGATAGCTTTGAAAATCGATTGAGTTAGGCCCACGTACCTATAGCTGCCCGGATTGGTCTTACATCATATTTTTCATTTTTCTATTTTTTTGCAACATGAGCTGATTTCTAAACCACGTTTTGTGGTACACCAAAGGGGCATCTGGGTGATGGTGCTAGTTATAATAGAAGTGTGGTTGACACTCAACAAGCTTAAGAGTATGGCTGTAAAGAAGAATGGAAACCCCAGGAAAAAACATAAAATCATGGACTACTGTACGAGAATATCACAAGAAACGCTAAAACATGTGCTCATAACGATCCTCGCTTCAGTACACACTTATCAATTAACGAACCACCTCTCGACGAGTTGATGTACAAGTAAGCCAACACGTCTGCTGCTGTGAAAATTCCCGCACGACCAGTCTGACAGCGACTCTGACGTCATAAAAAGCTTTTCATGTCATGATCAAGTGATTACCTTATGAGGAGCGTGTGTACTAAACAATCAAATCGTGTTGTTTAGAACATTCTTTGGGATTGAAAAGGACGCCAACAGTAACAAGTGATATTTTCCATCATGTATGGTCCGTGTCTCAGAATCTTCAAATGCGGAACATTTCCTTCAACCGCGCCAAATTACAATGCAGCGCTTGAGCCAGGAAATTATGGATGCTCTTGTTTTTTCAGCTCCGTTGCTGTGCGCTGCCCTTGACCTGTTCAATACGAATATCGTGTCAAAATTCTGTCATCTCCATTTTGTAAGAAGTCCCAGTGTGGTATCAGCTATACCCCCCCCCCCCCTAACTGTGCCTCGCTAAGTTGTCTTTGGAGGAGACTGAGTGTGCTTGTGTTCATGTGTGTGTGATTTTTGTCACGGCATTGCCTGCAGGTTTCCCGCAGACGACGGACACTATTCGCTCGCTTTTCGGTATCCTCTGGATGGTGATAACAATGACTTTTGTTATCCCATCCCTCATTCCACGCCGCAAAAGACGTCAGGTTGTCTCCGGCCGGACATTGCTGTCTGATGGGTTCGAGAAGACAGATTTGTCTGGTTTGAGTTGTGCATGTCAAGTTCCTCAAATTGGTTTCATCGCTTACACCGGCACTAACTATTGTTTTCCCATGTTTGATCTGCTTTCCTTTTATTCATGTTCTTCAATATCAGATACAGACAGGGTACACGGTGGTATATCTTTGGCGTACACTACCGGCCACACAAGCGCACGCACTCCTCTAATTCACGGCATCCGGCGGCTGATCATGATTACGGCCGGGTTGTCGGCGACTATTGGCGTCAGGCTGCCGCCATTACTTTGGATATTAAATACATCTGGCTCTAAGAAAACAGTTGCTGCCGAATTGTGGAACTTGCGGTGTTAGTACCAGGGCTTGTTGGAATAGCCGTAGCCACCGTGTTTGATGTCGTAGTCGACGTTGACCTTGCTGTACGGCAGCTTCACGTTGTACCCACCGCGGGTGCGGCCACCGTAGTTGCTCTCGTATTTGCTCTGTGGAGCGGCAAGTAGGTCAGCTTTGAAGAAGTGGTCAGCGATGATATTCACAGTGATGTTTGAAAAGGAGCTCAATTTAGAAAAGACGTCATTACAATGGTCCATTTTTTCCAACTGATGCTGGCTAACAAGCATAGGAACCTGTAAATGGGAACGCTTGGCGGATACTGCCACTGGCGTTGTGATTCATTATTCTTAATGCAGCCCAGCATTTCCCGGCACCGGTGGAGGGCCGTCATTGTCATCCCTCGCCACGCTGCATTACTGCTGGCGTTGGTTCAGCACGGGCTGCCGGTGCCCTGCTACCAAAGTCCCTCTCTGGCACTGGCATGAGGGAATTATTGAATGGTTACTTCATAAGTAAGCAGATTTCAGATGAGTACGCCACAATGAAAGGTGACGTATGGTATGAACATGGAGCTAGCTGGTGTTTCCTTCACGCAATATATGCAAAGCATTTGCCTCGTGAAAAACAGGAAATGGCCCGTGCGTACATTCTCACTTAGGTTGCGACAGGCTAGCTGCTCTCTCACCTGATAAGCCTTTTCCCAGGGGTAGTAGATGTCGTAGTTGTAGCGATAGTTATTCTTCCCGTATGGTTTGTGGCTGTAGTAGTCTGGATAATATCCTCCGTCGTACTTGCCATAGTACCGTGGCTGGCCGTGGCCGTACGGGTACTTGTAATAGTCGTCATAATAGCCGTCGTAGTCTGCGGCGGCGCAGGCTACCAAGCAGAGAAGAGCTAAGAACTGATGGCAGAGAACTGTTATCAGGAGGATTAAAGGATTTGCTGCTAATGCACCGCGGTCTGTTGGAAATGTTCATTTTGTGAAACATGGACCGTTTCGTGAAGGTACCACTTCACAAAGGCCTTACACGAGGGGCTTTAGGGTTTGAAGTACGACGGCCGCTAACATGGATGCTAAACAAATTTCAATGAAACAGTTGAAACTCTATGATATCCTATGACAGATTTGTGGCAAATAATTCTGATGTGTCGGGGACTCATACGTGGCTTGATGCCGTGTCAGACCCTCAGCATAGCCCTGTAACTTTTTCGTTTGTTTCCATTGGCCGTGGAAATAGGAAAACTCTATTGCAATTAGGGATCTTTTTGACTTGGCCTTTTGCTAAGGGTTAGTAATTTCAGGATTCCAGTGCGCTAACAACGCGATCACCGCCTCCTTAAGGCATTATACGTTCGTGGACAACCGTAACGTTAAGTCCCATGGCTTCCCTGACCGTCCGTATTGCTTACCTTCATGTCTGTTGTGTTCGCGTTCGGTGCTCGCCGAAAGAACAATGTCTCAGCCCTGTCGCCCGGTGCCTTTATACCCCCCTTCATTCGTGCCTCGCCAACCAAACGCCTGCTGCAACTCTTTTCCTCGCAGAGGCGGTTCGCACCTTGTACGAGCCACGCCCATGTCGCGTGCCGGCGTTCCGGTTACAGTTTTCCGTGGGTCATGCTGGGGGATGTGATGCGTTATTTTTGATAAAGGTTAGGTCTCCTCCCCCCCCCCCCCCCACTCTGCACAAAGCGGTGACGTCACTACCGCTAAGACTTCAACGCGGCGCTGCCGCTAGCCGTGGGGCATAACGCTGGGAGGCGGCAGGAACATCGCATATATCCGTTGTGGGGATTTTCATTTAGTAACAGGTTTTCTTTAATGTTAAGCAGTGTTTTAGGAGGCCGGTGGCGATCAGACATTTTGTGCAGGAGCAGGTGGCCGGCGGCGGTCAGACATTTTGTGCGGGAGCAGGTGGCCGGCGGCGGTCAGACATTTGTGCGCGAGCAGGTGGCCGGCGGCGGTCAGACATTTTGTGCGGGAGCAGGTGGCCGGCGGCGGTCAGACATTTGTGCGCGAGCAGGTGGTCGGCGGCGGTCAGACATTTGTGCGCGAGCAGGTGGCCGGCGGCGGTCAGACATTTTGTGCGGGAGCAGGTGGCCGGCGGCGGTCAGACATTTGTGCGGGAGCAGGTGGCCGGCGGCGGTCAGACATTTTGTGCAGGAGCAGGTGGCCGGGCGGGGGGTCAGACAATTTGTGTCGAGTAGCAGGTGGCCGGACGGCGGGTCAGACATTTGGTGCGGGAGCAGGGTGGCCGGCGGCGGTCAGGACATCATTGTGCAGTGGATGAGCAGGACTGGCCGGCGGCGGTCAGACATTTTGTGCGGGAGCAGGTGGCCGGCGGCGGTCAGACACTTTGTGGTAGCACGCGTGCGGCTCACCCGAACGTTCAGACGCCCCTCCAGAGGAGGGTGAGGAGCTGGCCAGGGAAATAACCGATTGGGACGTGTGTGTTCAGTGAGGTTTTCCAACATTCGTACATACAATGAACGAACTGTTTGCGAGAGGTACATATGGCCACCGAGACGATGTCGGAGAATTTAACGGCGGGTATGATGGCGTGATTTGCAAGGCTATGTCGATAACCATAAATATGTAATGACGCGAGAAATGAAACGTACACAAAATAATTATGCGAGATAGGACGGTAGGAAATCAGGGCTCTCTTCGATGATATCTCTTATCCCTTCTCATCGATAATGGAGAATCTGGTGCATATCGCAAGCGAGTCAATCGCCCAGGATTTCATGTCGAATACAATGCTGTGCTTTAAACAATTATCATGCTTATTCTAACGACTAACCATTAGAAAAATCCGGCGTACAAGTTGAAAACCCTTATGCGAGAGCCCCTGCAGAGATGGGTTGCTGGGACGTGGGACTGATTTCGTAGCGATTATGAACAAATTGTTGGTGATCCGTACATATAGCCAGGTGGACGAAAGCGTATAATTTTATGAGAAGCATAATGATTTGTTGATTACAAGTTTATATATGCGTAGCGGTTGACAAGCAATCATCCTAAAAAGAAAGAACAAGCACGCGCGAATTGTTAGGCATGTCAGGTAGTCAGCTAACCAATGGGGTAGAGTTAAATGGCAAGCATGATCATGGGCTTTTTGAGCTAACATTTAGTAAACCTGTTAGAATTCATTCATCGCGGAAAGTGAATGCGCCTACGTGGGACACAGGTACCCGGGAGGATGAGACCCCAACATTCTCAGAATCTAGCACTGGCATTGAACATTGGCACTGGCATTGATAATTAATTACAATTCCGGAAGCAGTACACGTACAGAAATAAAAAGATCTGAGAAGTAATGCACAAATATGCGTGATCCCATCTCCCCAAGAGAGCGACTAGCTCATTCAGCTAGTCCGGCTCACGCCACGCTGCATGCCCTTGCGCTGCTTATATCTCGTTGCTTACGCTTCGCTGACGGCAGTGGCGGAATCTTACCGTGTCGGATACGCCACCATTCAGAAGAGCATCCGTGATCGTCACACCATGAATGACGGCCATCATCCGATTATCTATAGTCATCAAACGTATCCTATGGTCTCATTTATATCAGCGGTGTAGTTTCCTATTTAGCAGGGGCCTCCAACCCTAAGCGCTTCCCCTACCCCGCCCCACGAGCTTGTATCGCTACCTTTTCGATGTATGGTGTTCATACGCGCTTTAGTGTATTTGAAAATGCCGCACACAGTCGACGCAGAGAACGAACAAATTTAGCATCACTTCTCGTGCTTCTCTGCATTACGAGTTCAGAGTTCAGTGCTAGATTATTGATCTACAGGTTGTTGTGAGTAACTGGTTAAACGACATACAACAAACATTGGTTAAATCATACCAGGTCTGATGATGACATTTGCAAGTTTCGAGTTTACGGCAAAACATTGGCGCAGTGATCTACAATGGTTTTTAAGCTAAGGTGAGAGTGATACGTTTGGCCGCAAAAAGACCAGAGAAGAGGGAAGAAATACATTCACATCAGCGGGAACTAACTTAATCGGTGACAGATGCCCCGGCGAACGAGAAGTATATGACATGGCATTAATCTCCATAAACTCTCCCCCCCCAAAAAAATGTATTTTCTTACATCTTATCTACGCATTATTAAACGCTCTAAGAAGAGTGTCCGACTAAAATTTTAAATATTGTTTTGTAGGTAGGTTAGGTTAATAATTAGGTGCATCAAAAGGGGATATTATGTAATTGTCAAGTATTTTACTTGTAATTACTTTTATTTATAAACACCGTCTTAATAAATGTTGGCTTGTTTCCGCCATCCTCCTCTCCCAGCAATAGGAAGCAAGTAAGATCAACGTTGTTCTTAGGACACGAGTAAACAATGTTGAAGGGCAAAATATTGCTCGATGGCATCTAACAAAAGAGCTTGCAAACAGGCACCGTAGAACCACAAGATTATTTACAACCGTGAAAGGTACACTACGCTCTATGCCTTTTACCAAGGCTATATAAACCCTTAAACAGGGCTACATAAACCCAAGGAGAATAAATGAACACTGTATAAGCTGCTGTGCCATTATGTCCTAAAGCTAGGAATGGCAGGATAAGGTAAATTGATGGGGTTTGTAGTTTGAATGGCTTACATTTATCATTATCGAGCCACGTTACGAGCCCAAGACCACAGCATGCACTTTTTCCAGGATGCAACTTGTGATACAGTTAATTTCTTCCCCCAGTTATGTCCTTTATGTGCAATGAATTGTTCACTCCTGGGTGTTCATTTAGCGCGTTTGGGTGTCTGGTAAATTGGTCCATTATAGCTTTTAAATAAATACAATTGCCCAGTCATTTCACTTTGAAGGCGCATTTTTTGATATTTTAGACAAAAAAGCGTTGAGGTAAGAAAAAAGGCAAAATGCATTTGCATTACATTTGTATTAGACCAAGACAAACAAAAGTAGGTATGACAATACAAGCAGTATACAAACGCACTAAAAGCAAATCAGCCTTGCTTTGTAGCCCGCGCTGTCATGATTTCACCTTTTTGAATGCGCCTTTTTCACGATTACGCTTCTATCAATGCGTTTCTCAGTATTTTTTCGTTTTTTCACTTTTCGACGTTTTTTATAACAACGTCTGTCAGTAGCTACATGCGACGTACCCGACAGCAGCTTCAACGAGAAGCTCTGGCGCGTTTTTCAGTGCACAGAATTGAAGGATAATTAATAGTTGTAGATCCCGCCCGTCCCAGCTTGTTGCGACTGCTGTCTATGTCTGCGCAGACCGCGTGAGCGGTGCGCCACCGAGCGTGCCGGGTGCGTGCAATCCCACTGCGTCGGTACCAGAGTGGTGAGTACCACACACTCGCGCGGGAGATGCAGGAGTCGGATCCGGATACTTTCGGATGCCTGTCGACGAACTGGACGACCTATTGGATATATTGTGACCTTAAGTAATTAAGTACAGGACATTAATAGTAATTAAGTACAGGACATAATAACTGCGACGATTGACCGTCACCTCCGACAGGATGCATCGGCAGTACGCGAACAGAGATCCAGAGATCCGTGAAGCAGTGCACGGATATACGTGATCCTGTCTTTCCACGAGAGTGTCTAGCTCATCGAGCTCACCCAGCTCACACCATGCTGTTTGCCCTTTCACTGTTTGTTGCTCGCTGCTTGCGTATCGGTGAAGGCGGTGGCGGTATCCCACTGTCTCGGATACGCCACCATTCATAACATCATTTGTGATAATCAAATCATAAATGGCGGCCGTCATTCGGATCATTCATACCCATCAAACATATCACATAGTTCCAATGGTGTCAGTGGTGCAGTTTACTACAAGACGTTCAACGCTGACGTGCAAGTAAAGTGTATGCCTCTGAACACTGATCGCCAAAGACATACATACTCATGTCCCAGGAGGGGACATGAGCATAAAAGCAGGAAATAAGCCGTGTAGCAGCAGCCCATTGTGCAACAAAGCAAAACGCGGTGCGGGGAAAAAGCTGAACCCGGAACAGCACGCGGCACGGGCGTGTCAATGAGCGATAAGACATGGAACGCCCCTCCGCAAGGAAAAAATGTTGCGGCCGGCCGTCCCAGGTCTCTGACTGGCAAGCCGCTGATGTCAGGGAATATAAAGGTATAGGGCGGCAGGGCTGAGACACTGCTTTTCCGGCGAAAACGAAGCGTGGAGACAACAGACATGAAGGTAAGCAATACGGGCGGGTACAGAGGCTATAGGGGTTAACGATACGATTGTCCAAGAACGTGTCGTGCTTTAACGAGGCCGTGATGATGCTGTCAGCACCACCGACATCCTGAGATTGCGCCGTCTTGACAACAGTAGTTTCTCAAAGGCGCGCTAGCCGCAAAAAAATCTTCGACAATTCCAAAGGGCGTAGGAAACAGAAAATAAGGTATGGGTATACAAAGATGAGACAATGTGCCTGCGCCA